AATGATGTCCCCTTGTTCCAAAGCTTCAGGGACGATTCCTAAAACTTGACTACCTCCTAAAAATGCAGCTATTGACACACCTCCCATTAACCCAAGACTGCCTCTCCCATACACTAAATGAATCTTTCTCTCAGCTAGCACCTGACCAAGATGATTTGCTGATTCTAAAAACTCTTTTTCTTTCCCAGGACTAGATCCACCGAAAACACAAATATTTCTTATTCGATGACCTGAGGAACTTGCCATTTCTACACACTTCTGTATTTGTTGAATGTATGGGTTGAGTAGAAATGAAAGGAAGGAAGAGAGGGTTTTATAGATGAGAAATGAGAAAGGCAATCATAACACCTATATGTAAGCCAGCTGGAGTCTCACACTCTCTCTCTCTCTTTTTATTTATTTATTTATTTACTTTTTGAAAAAGCATGTGTATGTACAGGTAGTTGTGATTGTGGCTCACATCTTCCCTTGGTTTTACATTCAAGAACGGCTTAAACGCCCTCTATGGGTCGGGGATAGGCTTCCCATCCAGTTTTCTTAAAAACTGGCAAACAGGGTCTATTTTAGTCAGATTCCCAAGACTATGTCGATCATGTTCTTTATGAAATAGTGGCCATAAATCATGAATTACACGATGCACATCTCCACTAGGATGCGTCTCAAGAGTCAATAGAAGATTATCTAAAGACTCCTTACTCAGGCCATCCTTAATGAATTGTATTTTATCTTCACGGTTTATAGATACCATTCCTAAAGAACGACATTGTGTATTACAAGTCCATCTAGCACATCGATGATAGAGTTCGAGTCGTTTTGCACGACGTTTCTTTGCAAAAGTGCTTTTACCTGTTCCAGGCATGTGTGAAATGAAGTTAGAGGACTCACCTGATAATCGGACCTTTGCTTTAATCAACCAGCGAATATCTTCAGGAATTCCATGATTCATTAACAATCTCAATCTTGCACATCTAGCACGATAAATTTTTGTAATCGCATTCTGAGGCAGAGCGGGAAAATACTTTTTCAATTTTTCAAGATTAGTGTCCATTTTCAAATGAGAATTAGAAGAGAGATTCAAAGAATTGCACAAATATATACAGAGATATCAGTAATTGTGGGAAACTGAAAGAACCGACTTAAGTCATGGAGTACCATTGTCCGCCATTTGACCGGGGTGAGAGAAACTAGCAAAAATCACTCAAAAAGAAACACAAAAAAGAAAACGTGAGAAAAACAAAATAATCAACCTTTATCTACAAGATCATTCAAACCAGCTGATTCATTTTCACTAGGAAAATTATCAAAGTAAGCTTTCAAACGATGTCCATTTTCCTTAAAATCATTGTCATTCATTGAATTCTCAATATCACAGGCCCTATAAGGATTGGTCCATCTTAATCTTAGCTCTTTAGGGAATGCATAGAGTTGAGAATCATAAAACAAAACTTTTTGACCAGTATCAACTTTTTGACAATTTTCACAAGTTTTGCAGAATGCATGCGTGTCCTTGAACATGGTGGGCCAATAAAATCCATTTTGAAAGATTTTTGCAGTTGTCTTTTTTGACGAGAAATAACTCCCACATGCTTAAGAATGACAAAGTTTAATGACATTACTTACCTCATTGTCGGGAATGAATCTTTGAAATATTTGATCAGGACAATATTTGAATAAGTTAGGGTCGTCATAATAAAAATTCTTCACTTCGTTCAAAAACTTTTCTTTGTCTTGGGTACTCCAATCAGCTGGCAAATCTCTTAAAGCAAGAAAATTAATATTTTTATCATACCAAGGCATTAGACTAAGAGAAAGTAAGGATTCGTTAGGAAAGTAATCATCGATTGGTGTGATGCCAGATGTTGAATCTGTTGTCACTATTGACAAAAGATTCGCATCAACAGTTTCGGTGTGTTTTTCCTTCGTGATTTCTTCCTCAGAATAAATCATTTGCAAATCTTCAGATTCATCCAACTCATTTTTACTTAAAGTAGATTCAAGTTGATCATAAACTAATTCGTCAATATGATCTACTTTTTGTAAATCATTATCATCTCCAGGTTGCTTGCAAATGTTGAAAATATTCATCTCCAATGTCATGTTTCCAAATGATAGCTTCATCAGTCCATTCCTACAATTAATCAATCATTAGAAGTTGCAAGAAATGGACGTCCTAAAATAACAGGAAATGAATTACATACTTCAACAAGTTGTGTGTCCAAGACAATAAAATCCACAGGATAAATGAATTTATCGACTTGCACTAACACATCTTCAATTATTCCTCTAGGCACTTTTATAGATCTATCGGCAAGTAAAAGAGTTATAGAAGTTGGTTTTAACTCACCTAGATTGAGACTCTGAAAAACTGAATATGGAAGTAAATTCACACTAGCACCAAGATCAAGTAAGGCTCTTTCAATTTTATGCTCTCCAATAAAGCAGGAAATTGTAGGACAACCAGGATCTTTATATTTCAAAGCATTATTGTTTTGAAGAATGACACTTACTTGTTCCGCTAGAAAGGCTTTCTTTTTCACATTCAGTTTCCTCTTCACAGTGCAGAGATCTTTCAAAAATTTACCATAGGAAGGAACCTGTTTAATAGCATCCAGCAAAGGTATATTGATCCTTACCTGTTTGAAAATTTCAAAAATTTCAGAGTTGTGATTGACTTTTCTTTGTTTGGTCATGGCTTGAGCAAATGGAAGTGCTGGCGGTGAATCAGTCGTTTCTTTGCAATTTTCAGATTCATCCCCTTCCTTACCCTCAGAGATTGACTCATCATCTTTCTCAGAAGGTTCAAGAGAGGGTTTTTCAATAACCTTACCACTGCGCAGAGTTGTGACTGATTTGACTTGATCCATATGTTGGCTTCCAAAACTACTTGCATTTGCATTGTATTGCCCCTTGGGATTTTGTTGCGGTTGAGATGGAAACTTACCTTTCTCTTGGAAACTGAGAGCAGATGTTAATTTTGCAAGAGTATCTTTAAAATCTGTCATGTTTTGAGCAAGTTGAGTATTTATTGTCTCTTGCTTTTCAATGAATGCATGCAATGTTTCCTCAAGATTTCTTCTAGGAGGTGGAGCATAAGGAGGTGCATATCCATGAGAATTTTGGAAATTGTGGTGTGCTTGAAACGGTGGTTGTGAAGTTTATGCATTGTTGTTCTCACTCTTCCAACTGAAATTTGGGTGATTTCTCCAACTAGGGTTGTATGTTTGGGAGTATGGGTTGTGGTTGGCCCTTTGAAAACTGTTTAAAGCATGGGCTTGTTCATGGAGACATTCCTTAAAAGAAGGCAAGGTTGGACAGTTACTGGTTGAGTGTTCATTTGTTTCACAGATTTGACACACAATGTTTTCAATAGATTTTAATTGACCACTCTTTTTCAATTCTAGTGCCTCGACTTTTCTAGCTAAAGATGCAAACTTGGCTTGAAGGTCATGATCTTCCCTAAGGTTGTACATACCTCCATTAGATGTATGAGGTTGAGTTTTACTCGGTGCCTCACAAGTACCCGCAGTGTCCCAATTTTGAGCATTTTCAGCTAACAAGTCTAAGTACTCCATTGCTTCATCAGGGTCTTTATCTTCAAAAGTTCCATTGCACATCAATTCAACCATTTGCCTATCTTTAGGTGTTAACCCTTCATAGAAATGTGGAACCAATCTCCATGTTTCAAAACCATGATGAGGGCAAGTACTAAGCAAGTCTCGATACCTATCCCAACATTGGTAAAATGTTTCTCCTGGTTTTTGAGTGAAAGTGGTGATTTGTCTCTTGAAAGAGTTTGTTCTATGAGATGGGAAAAACTTCTTTAAAAATTGTTGTTGCATTTCATCCCAAGCACGAATGGATCCCGGTCTTAAATTTTGTAACCATGTTTTAACTTTATCTTTTAATGAAAAAGGGAAAACCTTTAATCTGATGGTGTTCATGCTACAATTTAAATTATTATATGTGTTGCAAACCTCTTCAAATTCCCTTAAATGTAAGTATGGATTTTCCAATTCTAAACCATGAAAAGAAGGTAAAAGTTGAATAATACCTGGTTTAAAATTAAAATCAGATGAATCAGGAGGAAAAACTATGCATGATGATGCACTTGTTCTTGTGGGATTCATGTCGTCTCTAACTGTTCTAGCACGGTTATTCTCATTATTTTCATTATGAAGTGATTGATTATCTTCTTCAGCCATATTTTCTAAAAATGATGAGGATACCCTACAAAGTCTACCACTTGATGTACGTGACCACACTCTCATGCACGTGTAGGAATAAAATAAAAGGAAGAAGAAAATAAAAGAAGAAGAAACAAGAGAAAAAAAACAAACTTATATACAAGAAAAGTGAAAAGAGAAAATAAAATAAATATTATAATTTATACAAGAACTTACCTCCCCGGCAACGGCGCCAAAAACTTGACACGATGAAAAGATTGATGTCTTCTCCCAAGTGCAGGAGTGTCGAAGTAATAAATAACCCGGCAAGACCGGGGTCGAACCATAGGGAGGTTATTTGTACAAATTATAAATAACAATAATAAAACAACAGTAACAGCAACAACAATAGTAATAATAATAATAATAATAATAATAATAATAGTAATAATAATAATAATAATAATAATAATAATAATAATAATAATAATAAAGAAAGAGAAGAAGAAGAAGATGATGATGATGAGAACTTAGAGATGAAATATTAATGTAAGGATTAAGCAATAATAATAACAAATGTCAAGGTTAGAGGTTCCACTAATGGTATATCAAACAAGTATAGTATAAACTCTTATTATTGAATTGGAAACCACACACAAAGGAGGTTCCAATCAGATTATATATTGTTAACATGATTACATTAGTCATCTTATTCAATTAATGCTAATACTTGTAAATCTCGTCAAGCATTCATGATTATAACTTATGTTAACAACAAATCAATTTCACCACACAGCTCAGGTGTCGGTTATACCATACATTATGGGCTATGAAAGTGTCAAGCATTTGTTGTACCAAGTGTTATACAACATAAATCAAGATTAGTCACATAACAAGCAAAGTATAACAGAGTGAACAAGATAACAAATATAAAACATGTTAGTATCAAACATTAAAGTCCATATTAAGTTTACACTATACTTATTCTTACACCATTAGTGTAACCTTTTCACCTTGACATAATTAACTTAGCTAGACATAATGAAAGAAAGAAAAATAGATAAACAAAATAAGAACATAAAAGTTAACTAAGTAAAGGAAAGGAAATGAAAGGCATAAACTTAAAATTAATGAAAGCAAAGCATAAACATTACAAAAAATACAAAGAGAGAAAGGAAGAGCATGATCTTGATCTTGAATTGACGATTCCTAAATGCTTCGCAAATGCCTCCTTTTATAGGCCAAAATTGGGAACTATGGATTTGATGACTAATTGATAAGTGGGTGGCCAACTTTTGACTTGGTGACAATCCTTATCTTCTCTTTTCTGCCCAAAACGTCATTGATAACGTCAAAATTGGAGCCAGTTGTAAACATAAAAGCTGTAGGCAATTGTCTCAGCTTTCTTGTATAAAACATTCAGCTCATTTGGACTTCTAGAACTCCAGATATGGCCAAAATACCGAACAGTGCTCGGGCTGGAAGACAGATTCGGGCTTCTTTGTTGTTGCTACAATTCGGACTTGATAATGGCCTTTTTAGATCTTGTGCTCCATATGAAAGTTGTAGGCCTATGTCTTACCTTTCCATCCATATAAATTGGACCTAAATCTGAGATCTGTAGCTCCAGATATGACCCAATTACCAAATAGTGTTCCGGTTTGGATTGCACCGACATCTCTTTTCTAAGTTTGGCCATCTCTTTATCCTTGCAATTTAAGTTCTTCAAGTCATCAATCAATCCTTTCATTTATGTGATAGGCCTGCATTAAAAATAGATATTTATCACAAATTATAGGTATCTTATATTATTTGATACATTATTATAAAATATATTTTAGTTAAGGAGTTATTGATACTTCAAGTGCAAAATGATGATATAAAACCATGATAAAAATGCACTTTTAAGTACTAATCAATAGTCCGAGTAAGGGACTGGTTGTGTAAGGGGAAGACGCATCACCCCTAGTGCACCCTACTTAAGGTAAGCTGCATTGTTCTTTGATTGGTTTTTTTTAGTAGGGTATCTATTAGTCTTTTCTAAGGCTCAAGGAAGATTTATCTTCATGAGAGAGTCTCTACCTTATTGGGTAAAATCCTAACCGTTCTAAGTCTGAAATTCAGCACCGTATTTATTTAGATCTTGTATCTTTAATACTTGAGGGTGTATTTTATCGTGTAATTTTACACCTTATAAATATTAAAGTCTATATCTGGATTCTAAAAAAAAAGGATTGGAAAAAGATTTTTGACATGTTCGCCAAATCCTAATGGATAATCATAAACTGATTGCGATATCCATTCTTAGATTCTTTTAAAAAAAAATGAAAAAGATGCAATTTTGTTTTTTTATGAAAAACATGCTTGGAAAAATTTCAGGATTTGGCCCTATGCAACAAAATATTTTTTTTTGAAAATGTTTTGATTTTTTTATTATTTTAGAGGAAATCGGGTATTTTAATAACGGATTTGTATTTTACAATGTAAATACACAAATTGATATTATGCAAAATTGGTAAAAAAAAATATGCGAGAAAATCATAATTTTTTGAAATGAGTTTTTTAAAAAATTTAGTTTTTTTTTAAAAAAGCATAGCCCACTGCATGCACAGTGGACGTGAATTATAATTCACGTCGACTGTTCACTTATGAATAATGGAACTCTCATGGGAAAGATGAAGAACCAGCGGAAGGGTACCAGACCACCTAGCGTGGCGATGATGGCTGCTGGTGGGGAGAATGAGCTGAAGCCGACGGTGGAGTTGGCTGGAGCGACTACATCTGTAAGAGGAAGAAAAAAAGTTGTAGAGGAGAGAAAAATGTTAGAAGGAGAAGAGGGAGAGAGTCTTAGTGGCTGCTTGGTGGTAGAAAAGGTGAGGGGCTTATGTGAGGACAGCGGCTTAGGCTGCGAAAGGGATGGTGGTCGGCGGAGGAAGAAAAAAGAAGAAGAAAACCTGCAACGGGGAGAAGGAGGAGAGGAGAGAGAAGGTCACAGTGGCTGCTCTGCCACTAGAGAGGATCTGGGTTGATAGAAATGATGGTGGTAAATCCGGTGATGGTGGTGGTGGCGGTGGCTGAAGGTCACGGTAGAGAGAGAAAGAAAGAAAAAGATTTGCAGAAACCGGTAGAAAAACTGGTTTTTTGGTTGACTTTGGACCCGATTTTCTCCTCCCTCAGGCCATCAAATCCACCTTTATTTATAGGTGGTGGAAGAGGGCAATCTTGTCTATGCTGGAGAAAAATTTCAGCCTTTCATTCAGATGAAAAAGATCCCAACTGTTGGCTCAAAGTAAGCATGACACACTGTCAAATTGTCAAATCTGTAGTTGTAAACTGCCTAAGTTTGCCTCTTTGGGGTGGTGCCACATCCGTTTATTTACTAGTGAGCCCGTGCCGACCATACCCGGACGTAGAGGGATATCTGGTGATCAGTTTCGTGCAAGTTTTGGCAAATTTGGTGGACATTAGGTACATTAAATGCAGCTGCAAAGTAGGTAACCAGACCAGCTATTTCAAGGATTTAAAGAAGATGATGAACAGTGCCAAAATCCTGTTTTTGGTCAAAATTCATTTCAGTCCTTCCTCTTTCGATTGCTTTTAATTGAACCCCTAATTGACCCTAAAATATTTCAATTAAGGCCTTGATGAACTTTAATTAGAGCCCCAAACTTACACGCCTATTGTGATATCATCCCTGGTCTCGAATTTCTTCAATTTAGCCCCTAATTGACCTCTAAACTTTAATTTTCTTGCAATTTGGCCTTTAATTTCGATCAATTAACTTGGTGAAAATTAAATTTGGTCTCTTAAAATTCCAATCTTTTCAATTAAGCTAAAATTAAGCCCAAAATAAAATTAATTTGACCCATTTAAAGTATAATTAAGTCTGTGCGCTTAATTAAATCCTTCAATTGGACCGAAATTAATTCTTAAACATAATTAAAATTCAATTTGACCCATCATTAAATCAAATTGGCTTATTAAAAATTTAATTATGTCTTTGGACTTAATTTTTAAGCAAATTCATCTAATAATCATTTAATTTGACCTTGAATTTGTATTTTTTTTCTCCATTTTGGGCACAATAAGGTACAATTAGGCCTTGAACTTCCTCCAAAAAATGCAGCTTGATTCCCCAGCCTGCATTCTCCACGTTGCCAGCCTTTATTTTTTTTTTTAATTTTTTATTTTAAAAAAAGATGATTTTAGGGGAATAACCCAGAAATGGGTTATGACAGTTACCCCCCTCTTTACAATGCTTACGGTAGAAATTAAGTATTGTAAAGAAGAAAAAGAAGAATGAGAGATGATAAGACTAGAAGATTTTTTTTTTTAAATTCAAAGATTTTGAAGTGGTCGAATTGTCATGGGTGACCTACCTAGAGAAAATTGAAAAAAAAGCTTTTTTTTCGGTGGTTTTATTGTAATTGGTGACCTACCCAGGTGAAAAATGCAAAGATTTTTTTAAAAGTGAAAAATATAGGGACTTTTCAAAGTGGTCATGTTATAATGAACAACTTGCCCAGGTGAAAACCATGAAAATTTTTCAAAGTGGTGAAAAATGCAGAGATTTTTCAAAGTAATCTTGTTATAATAGGCGATCTGCCCAGATGAAAAATGCAAAGATTTTCCAAAGTGGTGAGAAATGCAAAGATTTCTCAAAATGGTTTCATTGTAATGGGCAACTAACACGACTAAAAAATTGATGTCATCTCCCAAATGCAGGAGTGTCGAAGTAATAAATAACCTGGTAAGACTGGGATCGAATGACATGAAAGTTAATTGTACAAATTATAAATAACAATAACAACAATAATAGTAATAACAACAATAGTAGTAGTAATACTAATATTAATAGTAATACGAATACTAATAATAATATTAATAGTAATAGTAAAAGTAATGGTGGTGGTGGTGGTGGTGGTGGTGATAGAAGAAGAAGGAGAAGAAGATGAAGTTGATGATAACTTTAAGATGAAAGATTAACGTAAGGATTAAACAATAATAACAACAAATGTCAAGGTTAGAGGATCTACTAATGGTATGTAAAACAAGTATAGTATAAACTCTTATTATTCAATTGGAAACCACACGAAAAGAAGGTTCCAATTAGATTATAAATTATTAACGTGATTACAATAGTTATCTTATTCGATAAATGCTAATACTTGTAAATCTCGTCAAGCATTCATGATTATAACTTATGTTAATAACAAATCAAGTTCCTTTCATAGCTTAGGTGTCTGTTATACCATACAGTATAGGCTATGAAAGTGCCAAGCATTTGTTGTACCAAGTATTATAGAACATAAATCAAGATTAGTCATTTAACAAGCAAAGTATTAAAGAGTGAACAAGATAAAAAATACAAAACATGTTAGTATCAAACATTAAGGTTCATGTTGAGTTTACAATATAATTATTCTTACACCATTAGTGTAACTTTTTCACCTTGACATAATAAATTTAACTAAACATTATAAATGAAAGAAAAATAAATAAACAAAATAAGAATATAAATAAGATAAAAGTTAACTAAGTAAAGGAAAGGAATTAGAAGGCATCAACAAGATATTAATGAAAATAAAACTTAAGCATTACAAAAAATACGAAGAGAGAAAGCAAGAGCATGATCTTGATCTAGAGACCAAGATGCCTAAATGCATGGTAAATGCCTCCTTTTATAGGCTAAAATTGGAAACTATTGATTTGATGACTAATTGATGAGTGGGTAGCTAACTATTGACTTGGTGACAATCCTTATCTTCTCTTGTCTGCCCAAAATGTTATTGATAACTTCATAATTGGAACTACTTGAAAACATGAAAGTTGTAGGAAATTGTCTTAA